CCCCCGCCACGCAGGCGGGCACGGACGTCTCGCCCTCGGGGCGCGCGTGGGTCGGGTTCGGCAACGGCGGGCAGGCGGGGAGCGGCGAGTGGTGGGATAACAACGGCGGGAAGGATTATCGGGTGGGTTTCCGGTGTGTTGCTGTTGAGGAGGGTGAGTTTTGTTCCTTTGCTTCGCCTCCACCTGCTTGTCTGCTCCCTCCTCGCATGAGCGCCGTATGCTGATTATTTATTCCGCAGACACGCCCATCTCGACGCCGCTGAGCACCGCGCCCACGGTGAACGCGATCCCGTTCCCGAGCGCCGAGTCCCCCGTCACAACGACAACGACGCCGGCGCCGACCATCTCCCTCTCCGCGTCCTCCGCTATCCCCCCGTCCGCGCCGATCTCGCCCCTCGTGCTCCCGCAGGCGATGGCGATGAACGGCACGCAGGCGAACGGCTCGCCGTACCCCAGCCCCACGCACGCCAACGGCTCTCCGACACAAGGCAACGGCTCGACGCCCCCGCCCCCGCCGCCGCCGCGCACGGCGCACGCGCAGGCGCTGGCTGCGAAGCTTGGGCGGTTGAACCTAAGGAATTATGCGGCGCCGAGGGCGGTGTCGTTGCCTGGGGGTGTGGGCGCGGGCGCACCGGTCGTGGCGCCTGCGCTTGCGCCGCTTGTGTCGCCGTTGAAGGTCGAGGTTGTGGAGGAGAGCGTCGAGAGCGTCACGGAGGAAACGAGCCAGGAGAGCAAGGAGCAAAAGAGCCAGAGCGGGGAGGCCGCGAACGAGAAGGAGGAGGAGAAGGAGGAGGAGAAGGAGAAGTTGCAGCCCGCGCCGGGGCAGAGCTCGGGCGGAATCGGTCTCTATTGGCCTTGGGGACGCGTGTCAGCTGCCTCGCCGCCCGCGGTCGTTCGCACCAGTGCTCCCTCATCGTCCACACCCCCAACCTCCCCGCCATCCGACGACGGCGACGCCGACAGCTCCTCGGACGACGACGACGCCGCGTCGTCGCTCATGTCCTCGTCGCACATCCTCCAGTCGTCCTCGTCCTCTGCGGAGACGGAGATGGAGGCGGAGACGCCGCCGACGAGTCCGCTCGGGGCGGGCGGGCTGCTGCCGCTCATCGAGGGGATGCTGCCGCCGGTTATCGAGGGGATGCCGCGGTTCGAGGGCGGTGGGGAGGACGAGGTGACGCCGACGAATGAGAATGGGTGGACGAACAAGCAGAAGGAGGCGGCGAAGGTGCCGCTGCCGGTGTCGCCCCCGACGTTGTCGCCGCTGTCGTCTGGCGCGAGCACCCCGCGCACCTCGCCCCCTTCCACGACATCCGCTTCGCCCCCGCCCGTGTCCGCGCCGCTGCTCCCGAGCGCGGCGGATGCGTCGTCGAGTCTGTACAAGGCGTTTGTGCGGCAGTGGTGTTTTGCGGGGAATGGGAGCGCGAGTGGGGGGAACGGCGCGAAGGGCGTTGTGGGGGTGTGAGGGGGCGGCGGATCTTACACTTACGTCGGCTGCGTACATGAAGTGGGGGGAGACAGGCGGTATGCTAGCTTGACTTGCTCGACGCCACCACGGCGATAGCATGCTCCGGAGGACGGAGAGGGGCGACCGCCGGGCAGCAAAACGAAGAACGGACAGACGAAAATGTTACGACGCGACACGCATACGAACGAGGGGACGCTTTACCAAAAAACGCAACGCTGCGGGCGTCGAAGAAAACTACGCAATGTAATAACGAAACGCAAAAGACCGACACGCGCGACGTGTCGGTTGTATGACTAGGAGACGACCACGGACGGGCGCGCGTGCTTAGGCCCCGAGCGTATTATATACGATGGCACGGCGGTGCGAGGGCGCGGTTACGTTCACGACGGACGGGCGGCGCTGCACTACCGACCCACCCACACCAATAAAAGGCGCGCGGCCGTCTCCCGACGAGACGGCCGCATTAGCGCCCGCGCACCGCGCCCCTTGCTCTCGCTCTCTCTCTCTTGATTTATCCCTCATATGGCTGGTCCCCCACTGTGCTTGTATGTGTACCACCACCCCCGACCAGCACCACGAACCGACCTCGAGTCTCACTACGGACTTGGTATCACCGACGCTCTTTTGCTCCGCCCCTTTTTTCTGCTGTCGCTTTCCTCGGGTTTTTCTTCGCTTATCTTTATCTCATGCATATGTACACCCATCTCAAACTCATACTCATTACCCGTTTCGTTCGCATTTTCACTCATCTCATCTCATTGGCGTTGTACGATAGGAGGCGCAGCCTCGACTCATCTCATCTCACCCCATCCCATCTATCCCCCCATCCCCCATCGACTCGGACACGGACATGTACAGATACACGCAGCACTCCCGCGCCTCGCTACGCATATAACCTAGAAAGGGCGCGCGCGCGCGGTCGATATAGTATACAAGTACAATAGGATATTTTTTCTTCTTGGCGGTCTTTTTACCTCGACCTATTTATCACGGTGTTGCTTGCGCACATAGATGACCGTTTTTGTTTCGAACAATTGCATTGTACCGGTACATACACAAGATGGACACGCGATTTGATAGAGACATACCTAGACTGGGGGGTGCATTGTAGGAATGGATTTTTTTTGGATGGCCAGCTCGGCGGAGGAGATGCAAGTCTGTGCCGGTGTCGAGCTGAGCGCTGAGCAACAATCACTGACACTGGAATGACGTCATGAATGTGGAGTGAAGACGAGTTCAGGAACTTGTCGAGGCCAAGGTTCTCGAGCGCTCGGTGCGGGAACATTGTGCAGGTCCGTCGCTCGATGCATTTGAAGATAAGACTCGTTGGTGAGACAGAACTACCAAAGGATATCTCCCCGACGCGGACCAGACGAAGGGAAGAGAAAGGAAGGAGACGTGTGCATAGATAGCTGCTGGAACATTGAACATTGGGTTGAGAATTTGATGCCGGAGACGATGCCCGAGCACCCAATCTCTCGACGAGGTTGCAAGTCCGCCGGGAAGGGTCGTATGCTAGTTGTAAGCGAGAAGCCATAGGGTTTCAATTTCCGCGCCGCGAGGAGGGTCGCGGTAAGCAGTATGGGGACCGCGACGGGAAAATGGGAAGGAGATACGTGCAAAATCCGTCAGCTGAGAGGTTTATGGGATGGCGGGAGATGTGTGGAGTGGGAGGGACGCGCCAGGAAAAGATAAGGTACGGTGGGGGCGCGTCATAGGTGACGTCGGTGGGACGGCATTGCGCGACCGCGCAATCGTTCGCGACTTTCGAGAATCCGATTATCGAGGGGCGTGGCTGTTGGAGGTTGGAAGGCGCCAGAAGAGGATACGGAGGATATGCGAGGTGGTAGAAATCAGAAATTTGGGGTGCGGGTGGTATCCAAGAAGAAGGATGGGGAACTCAGGTCTGTCGTAGATTCCAGCTGATGCTGAGAGCAAGGAAGCAGTGGAATTAAGGAGGGTCTCCGTGGAATCGGACAGCTGGCAGCTATTGAATTAGAGGATTGAGAGATTCAGAGGTCGAGTTGGCGAGCAGTAATTTAGGCCATGCCTTCGCTTTAATATTGAGAGGCCGGCCACGAAGGAAGGAGGAAGTACAGCGGATGCAAGGAAATGTCTTCCTTGTAAGCAGAGAACCTTGAGAGGACCAGAAGGTTGGCGGCCAGAGAGTTACCGAGCAGAGACAATTGTAACCAGTCTGCAGGATGTGCGAAATGCTTCCGTCGCTAGAACTTGAATATCGAACACTTGTGGCTTGCTTGTGGCGTCGAATTTGAACAGTGATAAAGCAAATCTCGGTTAGGTTGCAGTATCGCATTGACAAAAGCTTGATTGATCTTCCAAGCAAAGCATCAGGCACCTCGTTCAATCCAGTTATAGAATTACTTCAGTGTGATACGCGCCCAGCCTTGCCCAGGCTGGCAGACGTACAGAGATATCAGCGGGGAAGGACAAAGTGGGAATAGCCGTCGTCAGGCGGGTGACATCGATAGGGAGTCGGACAGGGACGGCAGGACCCAGGGCAACAGGCTTCGCGCGCCAGGCGAGCTTCCGGCGGGACCGCCCGTCCGAAAAAGGCACGGGTGTGAGCGTGAGTGTGAGGCTGACGAAGAGCGGCGCGACGTTGAACGATACGGAGAATGTCGGAATATCCACAAGTTCCAGCCGCAAGTTCCAGCCACCGTGGCGGAGAAATCGACTAGCAGAAGCACCGGCGGTGGACAGGCCATCGCGGTGCGAGTAGTATCAAGTGCTCTTCGTGGCCATTGAAGATGGTGGGATGCGGTGAGAAATGGCGAAGGTCTACTCGGGCTGGACCAGTGCGGCTAGAACGGGTGGGCCCTCGCACACGAACGTCGGATGTTCCACGCTTCGGCCCTCGATGAGAAGGTCACCGCGCGCGCGGCACCCAACGGCTCCCACAGGAAGGTTAAAATCCGGCTGAGACAAGGCACTTGCTACCAGACCTTCGATTCACTGGCAATCCGAATCGAAACAATAGATGTATAGAAAGGTTCACGCACAGTCAATCGCACCGTCGCACCGTCGCAACTCGAAGTTTACTGGAAGGCGCGAGCCCGGTCGGTCCCAGAGCGGTGCGAGGCTCGGAAAACCCTAAGTACTATAAACGAAAGATCATGCGCGGGATGTACCATTCAGTGGGAGAACCTACGCGATCTGGTGGTGAATGGCATGCTCATGTGTTCGCATAGCCCGAGGTATGTGTAGGAAGCGAGAGCGGCAGGCAGAAACGACCAAGGAAACTTGGAAGTGGATGGAGTGGGAGAGGAAACGAAGAAGTTTTGGCGCGTCGGGTTCTTTGCGGCCGGGGCCGACTGCGGGCTGTTTTTGCTCAGGCATCTACTTAGCAAGCGCGGTTTAATGCAAGGGGCTGCATCGTGTGATAGTGATAGTGATAGTGTAATACAGGTCAGTGCTATTTACGAGTGGGAAGTCAATGTAAGAGACTGGGTCAGTGCGGAATTTATAGCCATTGGACGGAAAGGATAAAAATTGGCAGAAATGCGAAAAGGAACTCTCGACCTGGGAGTCGAACCCAGCTTTCGCGCGAAACACCTCTACGACTTGTGGATGACAAGCGCGTGTACTAAACCGATATACTAGTCAAGACCTGTTCAAATGACGGGCGTCATTTAGACGACTCCATTGACTCCAGGCGCATATGAAAAGAGCAGCAATGTTGCTAACCAGCCTGTAGTGAGTTTGACTTGAGAACACTGAATATTGGCTGAGGACCAACTGAGGACAAACTGAGGACGAACAAACAGGAAAAAAATCCACGGCGCCCGATCACCATTGTCGCCGATCGGTATTTTCCAATCATCCCATCTTCGGCATTTTCCGCCTGCTCCGCTTCCTAACTTCTCTGGCACCGTGCTTCAACCGTGCTTCCACCACCGAGTCTGGGCTTAAGTTTGGTTCCCTTCTACTGCCTGCGCTCGCACGACCAGACATATGGTCGCGCTTCCTGTCCTTGACAGTTAAATCACTGCCCGGCGCCGTCGATTGAGTCCACGCCATCATGATTTAGTCCGGGCTCTCGATAGCTCTCGATAGATGTTGCTAATTATGAGTTCAAGTTCACTCTGGGCCTCTTTGCCGCTCTTTAAGCGACATTGTTTATCTGCATGCCACTCCCCGATAACGTTTGTGGCTGCTCCCCGACGGCGCTTCTCGAGTTCTCGAGTCCTGTTCAACGGCAACTTCCGCCTTCCGGTGAGAGTCGGTGGGAGGGTTCCGGGTTACACTACCCCTTAATTCAATTTTTTTGCGACAGGTATGAAATGGTATCGTACTCGCGCAAGAATTCGCCCGGACTTCACTCAGCGGTGCGCCTGAGACAATGCCGTTCAAATTTATTTTGTTTCTTTCCCCAGCCCCTGGGGCGTATTACCCACTGACCGCAATCGCGGTGTAAGCCAAACTCCCAGCCCTTCACGGGCAGCGCCAGAATCCTTACTGATTTGTGTCAAATAAAAATGCCTTGCGCAGATATGGGCTTCCCCAGCACCGACTTGGTCTATCCCAATTCATTGTGATTCCACCCTCCAATCGAGCGACAGTGAGGTTACACGACCATTCATTTCTGTCACATTGAACATTTCAACATTCCGGTCTCCGCCGAGACCCGGATCGACAACTGTGTTTGGAAATTGATGTTCGCTTTCAACTTTGCACACACAAGTCAGCACTATCGGTCTATACCCCGTTTAGTACGCTCTCCCGTCCTTCCATTTTGGCTACCCACTCCGCAAGGACTTCGTCTGGGCATCGCATGCACGCTGTGGACAAATGAGGGCAATCTGCTCTGGACGTCGTGATCCACCTCTCCTCGGAGTCGTGTTGCCAGTAGTTCCCCGTTGTGCAAAGAATGACTAGCATGATTCCTTTGACCTCCAACCACTCCATACCCGCCGCAGGCCTGCGGTCCGATACGTAGGTCACGTATGCGAGGTTACCGCACTGTGCTGTCGCCGGGAGTAAGTCCATGCCATATCTTTTTGGCGGCCGCGACCTCCAGATACTGGGAGGTGCATATACTGTAAGGTCCTGGAGATTGGCAGCATGCTCAAGATTACGCAGGGATGGACCCTCGATGTTGAGTGCGCCATCCCACATGAGATAGAGGCTCTCAAGGCGTAGGGAGCCGCATTCCCGCTTCAGCAGTGTCCAGATATTCCATGTCACAGCAAGGTGTTCAACTCGTGAAGATGCTTGGAGTAATTGCCGAACAAACGAGAACTCCTCGGAAGGCTGAACCCGTGTCTGGTCCTGCGTGAACGGCAGATCAAGAACTAGCGTGCGAATGAAGCTCGCGTTCGGCAGCAAGCTCTCCCGAATCCGCTGCATCCACTTATGCTGCGGGCGGATGATGGCCGTGCGGAAAGCAATGGGTTTCGTCCTATTTGCACATTAGACAAGAAGGTGGTGTTATTCCGGCGCACCAGGTCTTGAATCGCGAAGCCACTAGCGACATTATTCCGCACATATTTGGGAATCTCTTCAGAACCACCTCATTTATGTGCCGTTCTATATCCTCTGGAAAGGCAGGTTGCGAAGAAGCTGCCATCTCTGAGCTGTCTCCCATGTCGTTCCAGTATTGTAATGGAACGAGGCTCGCGTTGAGTTTGTTGGCTGGTAGAAGGACGAAGGAATCGAGCGCGTAAGAAGGTGGGTGCAGAGTGGCAGTACACATTGTTCCGTCGCCCATTTAGGGAAAGCATCAGTTTCAGGTCGAAAAGGGGCTCACTATGGCCCACTTGAATCCATTTCGCCTTGGAATTTTTAACCAGCTTGTAATGTGAGCGCCAGGGGTTGTCAGAGGAATAAAAAGATCCTCTTTGAGATGCTGGCAGTCGGTTTTTTCAGCCGTGGCGCTAGTAAGGCTGTGAACATAGCAGTGCTGAACACTTTTTAGCAAACGATCCAGCGTTCGGATGCCGGGTTGTAAGAAGGAGATTTGAACAAGGTTGACCATCGACTGCTGGTTGAATCATACCTTTTGAAGAAGTGCATGTCCAAATGAGCAAAATCTCCGCGTTCAATTGAATGACAAAAATGGAGCCCGCCACATGTCGGACTCGGATAATATTCCTTCTTCTGTCGAAAACTGGCCCTCGAGGGTGGCTTCTCTTGTTTTGTCATTGGTTTCGGAAAGACGGATTGGTTGATCGGGTTGACTGGGTGGTTGCCAGTTGGGATTATTGGTTTTCGCCCTTCAAGTTTGTAAGTACCGAGCTTGGGGTGTATTCGAGAGACAAGTAAAGGCATTCCGCATCCAGTCACGAGGTGCAGGTCGCGCGAAGCCTTTCCACAGATTCTGAGGGTCTTGGGGTCTCCGGCCATCCCATCCCGAGGTTCGACATCGGCACTTGATCGGCAAACTGACAGGGTTTTTTTCCGCTCATTTGTTCTTTCCACATGCTTTGGTCGGGAAATGTCTTCCCAACGCAGGTGTTGTACGTGGCTGTAATCCTTTCCAATCGTGAGGCTGTCGCTCAAGAAAGTGGGTTGGTTCCCTGTCTCGGGCCGAGCGATTCGAACAGCGGCAATGGACGCTCCGCTAATCAGATAACGGAGAACTTGCGGAGAACGCAGGATAAGATGGGGAGAGTTACTGGATTTGAGAGATCTGTCCCACAAATGGTGGATAAAACACACCGAAGATAAAGGGAGAAGACAAGATGGCGCAGATAAGATAGAACCGCAAGAGTGATGAATTTAACTGAAACTGATAGCAGGCGCTGTGGATCTTGGAACGAGCTGGAATCGAGCCCGGTCAAAGCGTCGCTTACGATGACCTAGTTGGGAAAAAAGTCGAATTGATTACTGCAAGGGATTTTTTGCGAGTCCTGTTGGATTACGGAAGCCGAGTTTTGCCAGTTTTCCCTCCGTCAACACGAGGTTCCATTTCGCGGAAGCGGCAAACCCGCAAAAATAGAGTTACTGGATTTAAAAGATCTATCCCACACCGTTAGATAACCAGCGCAGATAAAGGGAGATGCAAATTATCAGATACCAGCAGCGTTTTCAACCGCGAAACACCCTCCCTCCCCAAACCCTTCCAACGAAAAAAAAATGCCCGCTACACCAACTGTCGGGCTCGACTACCACGATACAATGATCGCTGCGCATGGTGAGCCGTTCGTGTCCCAGGATTGACAACGCACCCTGATTTTTCGGTCAAAGCGGTCTTGGTGTCGGTGGCCACCTTATTCACCGCGCCTGCCGCCATCTTGATCGGGCGGTACTTTCGGTCGCGCAGCTGGTGGTTCAGGGCGCACGTCACGCTCCAGAGCCTCACCGCCGTCCTTGTCATCACGGGCACCGCGCTCAGCCTCGTCGCAGTGCAGCACAACGGGAACGGCAACCAGCTCACCGGCCGCTTGAAGGACCCACACCACGACCTCGGCCTCTCTGTGCTCGTCCTCTTCCTGGTCCAATTCGTCGTCGGGGTGGGCGCGCACTACACGCACTCCGCGGGCTATGGCTATAGCAAGGGCAGCGCGTTCCCTACGCTGACGACGCCGAAGAACCCGCTGCGCCACGTCCACGTCGTGTTTGGGATCGGCATGACGGGGCTGTTGTATGCGGGCGTCAAGACGGGGATGGACGAGTGGAACAAGGTTGCGGACAGCGCTACGCCGGTACCGAGGGGCATCGAGATCGCGTACTGGGTGCTCTTCGGGCTAGCGGTCGCGGCGTATCTATTCGGCTGGATCTTGGAGCCCGTTCGTGGTGGGATCCGCCAGGAGTCCATCGATGCCGGGAGCGTCGAGAAGGTGGGCGAGTGAAAGGTTGCGAGAGCGAGGCTCGGTCGTGATTAGTTCGGCGAATGGTCAAATTACAAAAAGACTAGGGCTACAAGCGAATGAGATAAATGGATAAAGATTCAATGAGCTTCTATGACCGCGGTCGCAGGCGGATGGTCGGTGTAGCCTCTGGGGTCAACACTGCCCGCGGCGTAGTACAGCGCGCGGTTCCCGATCGACAGCGCAATGTCGATGAGTTGGTACGGAAGATCCGGCTGGGAGACAGGTCAGCATCATACATCGTACCGAGGAAGTGCGAGACCCACGTTAGCGACGTATGGACGAGCGAAGGCGATCAGGTCGCCTTTGCTCTCAGCGGTGGCGATGGCGGTCTCGCGGGTGTACCCCCCTGCGCTGACGAGGCGCCGGTCACCCCAGATGTTGCGGATAAAGTCGTTCGAGTATCCCTCCTTGATCTCCACGGTCCTCGCCGCCGTCGACGCGGGGCTCAACGACGTGCAGATACGCGAGGTCCGGGTAACGCTCGCGGAGCTCAGTCGTGAGGTGGGCGTATATTGGCTTGGTGGTGTCAAATTGCATGTCTGGAATGAAGGTTAGCGCCGTTATACACGTGAAGATATTGGAGGTCTCACCAAGGTACGTTCCCCACGGGCTGATTCGCAGCGCGGTCTTCTTCTGCCCAACGGCCTTCACGACAGCGTCCGCGACTTCCAATGGGAAGCGGGTACGATTCTCCACAGAGCCGCCGTATGCATCTGTGCGGACGTTGCTCCAGTCGTGCAGAAACTGGTCGAGGAGGCATCCGTTCGCAGCGTGGATTTCGACTCCATCGAAACC